TAGCTAAAGCCATAGAATTAAGAAAAGACAGGCTTAGAATTCAGAAGATCCCAGTTCTAGGCTTGGACCACATCTCTCCACTGCCTGTTGTGGTCTGAAATCACAGTTCCCGAATTAGCTAGGAATCTAAGTTCTGAGAAAATTCACCTGCAACTGAAGCTCTGCAAGCTTTAAACAACCAAGGTCTGTGTTTAAATCATGCTGTTTTTAATAGTCTCATGGAACTGAGGAATCCCCACTGCCCACTGTTGTGAGAAGCTGAAAAATCACTCAGTACAGGTAGGTTAATTGCCCAGCTAATGGCCTCCAAAAGTTCAGGCTGGATGTTCTCTCCTTGAATTACCTGCCAGACAACAGGCAGACCCATGCCAAGAGAGTTAGGATGAAAGGGCATGAGACTTTGAGAAGGAAGGGACCAACATTAAACTGAATGTACAAGTAAAATGCTCCTGAGAGAACCAAAAAAAAAAAAAAAAAGAGCAAGCCTAAGAAAGACCAGCTTGAAGGCCAAATAGGGAGACAATGACCTTGTGGTTACAGTGCTGCACTCGAATTCAAGAGATCAGGGTTCAATTCCTAGCTCTGACTCTGTGCAAGTCACTTAGGTGCTTTGAAAATGTTAAGCTCCTAAATCTCTCAGGCTAAGTCCTGGATGTCTAAGTGGCTTTTGAAAATGTTATCCTTAGGGCTAGTCTACACTGGCAACGTCAAAGCACTGCTGTGACAGCGCTTTAATGTGGCTTGTGTAGTCGCAGCAGAGTGCTGGGAGAGAACTGGTTTTTCACCCCCCTGCGCGAGAAAGTGGCCACGCTGCAAAGTGCCAGTGTAGGCAAGCCCCCCCGTCTCTATCTATGGATGCAGTGTTGTTGTAGCCATGTTGGTTCCAAGATATTAGAGACGGAAGGTGGGTGAGGTAATTATCTTTTATTGGAGCAACTTCTGGTGGTGAGAGGCTTAGGGCTTGTCTATACTGGCATTTTACAGCGTTGCAACTTCTCCCTCGGGGGGGTGGGTGAAAAAACACCCCCCTGAGGGCAGCAAATTTCAGCGCTGTAAAGCACCAGCGTAGACAGCGCCCCGCGCCGGTAGCTACACCTCTCATGGAGGTGGTGTTTTTAGAGCGCTGGAAGATCTCTCTCCCAGCGCTCTGCCATGACTGCACAAGCCATGTTAAAGTGCTGCGGCGGCACTTCAGTGTGGCCGGGGTAGAGTAGCCCACAACCTTTCGTGCTTACAAAGAGCTCTTCTTCAGGTCTGGGAGATCTACTCAGAGTGTCACCGCTAAATACCAGGTGGAACAGATTGTTTAGCGTAAGTCATTAACACATGTTTCAAGAAACCATTCAAGGTAAGCTGGTCCATTAACACTTCTCCAGTCATAGCGGGGAAAGGAGAAAAAGAAGCTGGGGGAGGCAGTTAATGGGTCATAGACTGTTGTAATAAACTCTAAATCCAGCCTCTTGATTCAGTCCATCATTTTTAGTGTCTAGCAAAGTTATGAATTTAAGCTCCCAGGCTCTTCTTTTAGAAGTGTTGTGCAGGGTTCTTTTGAGGATGAGAGGTCAGATATAGAGGGACTGCTCTGTGAAAAGTGTTCCCTCACAGACCACATAGTGTTTTTGTCTTTTATCATTTTCATGTGTGAGTTCACTCCAGAGCGTAGTCCCATTTCACCTACATTGTTGTTAGTGGGGCACAGATGGTACTTACTTGGCCCACATTACTCTTGCATCTGAGCATCTCACAATCTTGAATGTATTTATCCTCGCGAGGACAGCACTATTTTACTAGTGGGGAACTGAGGCACAGAGACACTAAGTGACTTGCCCAAGGTCACAGAGGAAGTCGGTGCTGGAGCAGGGAATTGAACCCCGGTCTCAAGTCCCAGGTTAGTAACCAAGCTGTTGGATCAGGCTTCCTCTCATCCTGGCTGTTTTCCATCTCTACAATATGGATGAAAATAGTTACTTTTCCCACCCTTTTATTTGTCTGTTTACATGGTGGGTTCTTCAGGGCAGGAGCTGTCTCTTACTATATGTGCAGTGCCTAGCACAATGGGCCTCTGGGGCTTCCCAGCCCCGTTATAGTATAAAGAAATAATACCAATACGGAAGGAAAAGGAGATCTCATCAAAGAAATGAAAATAATTACATTGGTGATTTTTTTTTCCCTCCCAGGTAATGAGGACTACAGGGCACCCTGCACTTGTGTTTACTCCATATCTGATATGCACATACTGGAGGTGATGTTCCTATTTATGTAGTTCGCTGCCAACATCATGATTTTTGATTCCCCGCAGGGTGGTTGTTGGTTTTTAAGTATCTGAAGTTGTCACCTCGCCTGTTCCATCCTTTTAATCATCATTACCACCTCCCATTTTGTCATCCTTCCAACTTTAAAATCCAAGGCAAACAATGTCCAGCACTGCCTGGGAAGTGTTCCAGATGCATTATGAGGACACAAACGCTCTTGACATTTTCCCCATTGTTATTAGTGTTTCCTTAATCAGGCAGAGTATCATAGGCAGCATTAATATGCATTCAGGGCAAATGATAGGCAATAAACCAATTCTCGGGTGCTCAAAAGAAGTTTCTATAAAAGCGGCTTATCAGCAGGTCCTTTCTTCTTCTTTTTTGGTCTCTATATATTTATTTTATCTGCAATATGCAGATGTCATGAGAGCTCCTATCTGTTCTTGGATGTCCATACCTGGCTACCGCTGACACTACTTTTAACTGCAATGGGAGCTACATTTGTGCAACTGAATGGCAAAATGTAACCCTTCGTGTCTTTCATTTCTCTGGCCTCCTAGTTTGACTTCTAAGTGATATTTGCATAAGTTAAGGTAAGGAGTCTGAGGCATAAAGTGGAAGTGCCTTTGCCAAAGGGGTGCGGTATTGCATTTGAGCACTGAACCCTCAAGAAAAACAGTCCCAAACGCAGCTTCATCCCTTGTTAACAAACTGAGAACTCAGTGAGCATGCTCCTTTCTGACCCTCCCCAGTAAGATCCCTTCTTCTAGCAAAAGGTGGAGTTTCCCAGGCCCACGTGGCATTCTGGGGGCTGCAGTTTCTGCTGGTGCCTCATTAACAGCAGGTATTTTTGAACAATCGCAGCTGTGAAACTAAATCTATCTTTGAAGGGCTAAAATGAAGGCATGGAACTTGTCCACTGTTCTCCACATGCTTTATGTTAGGACTCCCAGAATGGAGTCCTTGCTGTGTGTCTGGTTCTGCACAAAAGTTCCCTGCAGTTCCAATCGTTAGTAAAATTTGTCCTCTCCTCCACAACACTACTTCGGTCACAGAAACAGAGCCACGGGCACATTTTGTGGAGTCCTGCACAAAGTTAGATGTGAAGGCCCTCAAGCAGATCATCCATAACCCACACAGCTGGGAGGGATCCAATACTGGCTGAGTTGGAGATGCTTGTTGGATGGCGAAGGAGGACTTTTGCAGCTTGGGAATGGTTCTGACTTTTTTGCCATTCCCTCCTCCCTTTACTCCAAGAACGGAGCATACTAAAGCCATGGGGGCATATGTGGCGCACATCTGAATGCGTAGGCCCAACTCTACATAGAAATGTATTCAGCACTAAAATAGGCGCATTATTGCTACCAGAGATTTCCAGCCCATCTTTTCTGTATAACGAAAGCTCGATTAGCTAAACTAATTAAGACCAAAGGGCTTTAACAGAGAGAGAGATGTGTTTGCTCAGATAACCACCAGGTTCCAAGTGAAAGGCTATGGGAGTAATACATGAAAAGAGTAGTTTTTTCTATTTACGTTTCCCATTTAAGTACTTGTAAAAGCAAGTCACAGGAAACGGGTCCACAGAGTGCGCTGGAGTAAGTGAACAGTTTGGTTAACTGAGGTTTGGGTAATCATGTTTGTACACTATCTGCAGCAACCCATGTAGGTATTCCCACTGGCAATACAGGGTTAGCCGTGGAATAGTGATGAGGAAAAGCCCCGGCTGAGAGGATTTTGCACACAATGCAGCTAATCTGTGCCGGAATAATTTCCTCCTCTTTTATTTTGCAAACAGTTCTGTGTTTCCTTTTCTTGTTAGGGGTTTCAAATGGAGCGTCGCAGGCCCAGAATACTCCTTTCATTTCTGTTACTGGCAGTCACCGACTGGCACAGCTGAGCGAAGTTAGTCATTGTCAGTCTGAACAGAGGATGTGGTGAACAGGAATGAAAGGACTGGCATAACTTGGGGTGCCTACATCGCCCACGCTATATAAATGCTGAGTATCCTGTACACATCAAAGGTGAAGATAAAATGCACAAATGTTATGAACAATCAGAGGCCTTCTTGGTAGCAGATCCAGAATTTAGGGCTTAGACAAAAGGGAAGGGAGACTGTTGTGTTTTCAAAGAGCCACCCAACATCGGATGCCTTTTTCATTTGAAGATATATTTGTAAAGCTTCAAAGGGAGTTTAAAAATATATTGAATATTTTCAGAAGTTTCTTATATTTAGAGGGAATTAGCCTGGGATATATTTACTGTGCACAGACTTTCTGAGAAATTCTTATGTTCTAAGGTGAAAAGTTGCAATGAAACATCTGAAAAGTCATGAGTTCATGTGCAAGTCACAGTCTGGAGCATAGCTAAACCAAGCAATTATGTTATGTGCCTGCCACCCTTAAACTGGCATTCAGCACAGATGTTCAATAGCAAACTGATTTTCACTTTCATAGAAGAAATGCTAGATTACCATTGACAGGTAAATTACTCCATTTTCTTCTGTGATTTTAAAGTAATTTCCAATCCTAAATCCAACATGCTGGCCCATTAGAATCCCAATAGTCTCTGAACCAATATGTCCTTGCCATGGCTGTGAATTTCAGTGGTCTAAGTCAGTGTCAAACAAACGTAGGGGACTGACATTTTTTTCATAGCTTAAACCTGCCATATAAATGAAGCACAGCCTTTGGATCTGTGCAATGTGCACTCCCGGGTGTCTTAACAGATACAAGCTTATTGATTTCATACCTGTGCATCCATTAAGAGGTGTCTCATCAGCATCATGGAATTTTTCAGAGACTCTTTTTCACTAGGCAAGAAAGCATCTTTGTCCTCATCCAGCATTTTTGACTTGTTCACGATAAAATGCGAGAGCTGGTCATTTAGGGTATGCATAGACTGCACAGCTATGGGGAGAGAGAAAGAAAAAAAGAGCACTGAAACCATGCAGGAGGATTGGCGGGAATCACTGGAAACATTTGAAATTTCCAAAGGGTGGGCAGATGCTACCATATTCTGGACTAGCTAATTAACCGAGGGTTAAAGCATACATATAAGCAGTCGAGACAATAGCATGTTACATTAGATGAAATAACTGACTAAAGGAAGCAGAGCCATCTACACCATGACTGTATTTAGAGTATGAGTGAGTCACTAGCAATAACATTACACATGCAATAGATGCTGTTACTCCATTCCATATGCTACAATGTACTGTTACATAATAAAGCTACTAAAGGCTAATTTAGCATTTCATTTCCTTCAAAAGCCCTGGCATAGTGCTGTGATGAGAAGCTAGACAGAAACTCAAGTGAATGCACCAAACTGTTCACTTTTCCTCCTGAAGATTTCCTTACTTACACATTGTGCTGTATTTGACCTTCCTTTCTGATGGAGCTTTACCAAACATAGCTATAATATTTAGAGCTCCTTATGGAGACAGAATTTCATGGGGATTTAGAAGGTTGGTAGAAGACCATATAGTCTCCCGCTTCTTCTACCGACAGTGACTATACAGGTACCATACTAGCAGTGGCTACACCTCTGAAGTTGAAACATGCCTGAATCAAAATGCCAGATCCAAATATCTCCTAACTTTGGGGAAGTTCTGACCTGGATCCCAATGATGGGACTTGAAACCATCTCCACTCTAAAAGTTGAGACATTTGGTTCAGTCAAGCAACCAAACAACTATTCCTTAAAACATTTCTAGTCTCCAATGTCTGGCTTGATGTCTCAGGACAGGCAGTTTTCTTGGTTCCTAGAACTTCCGACTTCTCCTCATGCCAGGAGGATTAATGATGATGCTGATGGTATAGATTCAATTAGCACCCAAAATGTGCAAGATCCGTTTCCCAACAAAAAGAGAGAGAGAGTCACTTTCCCCAAAGAGCATGCAATCTAAAACCAGAACCCTAGACTCTTAAAAACGTAAGAATGGTCACACTGAGTCAGACCAGTGGGCCCACCTACCCCAGGATCCTGTCTTCTGACAATGGCCAGTGCCAGATGATTCAGATGGAGTGAACAGAACAGGGCAATTTATCAATTGATCTATTCCCCTGTCATCCAGTCACAGTTTCTGGCAGTTAGAGGTTTAGCAGGGGGTTGTGTCCCTGGCCATCTTGGTTAATAGCCATTAATGGACCTATCCTCCATGAACTTCTCTAATTCTTTTTTGAACCCAATTATACTTTTGGCCTTCACAACATCTCCTCTGGCAACGATTTCCCTAGATTGATTGTACATTGTGTGAAGAAGTACTTCCTTATGTTTGTTTTAAACCTGTGACCTATTAATTTCATTGGGTGACCCCAAGTGATGTGAAGGGATAAATAACACTTTTTCTCCGCAACATTCAGGATTTTATAGACCTCGAACATATCTCCCCTTAGTCATCTCTTTCCTAAGATGAACAGTCCCAGTCTTTTTAATCTTGTCTCATATAGAAGTTGTTCCATACCCCTGATCATTTTTGTTGCCCTTCTCTGTACTTTTTCCAGTTCTAATATACCTTATTTGAGATGAGACGACCAGAACTGCACACAGTATTCAAGGTGTAGGCGTCCCATGGATTTATATAGTAGCATTATGATATTTTCTGTCTTATCTATCCCTTTCCTAATGGTTGCTAAGATTCTGTGAACTTTTTTTTTAACTGCTGCTGCACATTGAGCAGATATTTTTGGAGAACTAGCCACGATGACCCCAAGATCCCTTTCTTGAATGATAGCAGCTAATTTAGACCCCATCACTTTGCATGCATAGTTGGGATTATGTTTTCCAATGTGCATTACTTTGGGCAACACCACCTTCCTCCTCTGTATTTCAGCACTTCCTCTTTTGACCCCCAGCTGAAAACAGAAAGTGAGCTTAATGGAATGTGGACAAATATGGCACATGGCTTGTATTCCACAGCAAGGCCTTATAATGTTTTAGAAGCCTGTTTATTTTTAATGAGTTATGGGGCTTGTGATAACTTCTGCATTGATAGCCCAGGAGAAGGAAGTCCTCTTCATCACAGAATAGCTACAGCATGGGAAGCAGCAGTGGAAGCTTTCCTAGTCCTGCCCTGCCATTGTGCCTCAATCCTGACGTGAAGGGACCCCTTCTAGGGGGGGAAAAGGGAGTCCAGTGCTCCATTAATTCCTTGACTTCTCTGCTGAGAGTGCAGATAAAAGATGTGAAACACAATGGTGGCTTTTGTGATTGGGAACTGGACTCCACCTGGCAATCTAGAGATGAAAATCTCCTTATCCCATTACTAACCGTAGGCAGTCCAGTTCCCTCTATGAACAGCCTCTTACACAGATACTTTCTCAGCACCAAAAATTCATTCTCTTAAGATTCAGAGCATGACACCACAGGCATATGGATTATAAAACAGTGGGGTTTATGAGTACTTGTGGCACCTTAGAGACTAACCAATTTGTACTCCTTTTCTTTTTGCGAATACAGACTAACACGGCTGTTACTCTGAAAGTAGGGTTTATGTATGTTTAATTATTACCACCTACACCTGTATGAGTATTTAGGACTTTACATCACAGAGTAGGAGAGCACAATTCATAGGTTGGGAATGCTCAGTTGTAAGGTTCAACATTTTGTTACAAAATAATATTTTTGACTAATGTATTATAGTAGAATCTGGAGGCCCCAACTGAGACCAAAGCGTCTTTGTGCTGAGCACTGTGAATATGCATAAGAGAAAATCTCAGTCCCAAAGTGCTTACAAATCTAAACAAAGAAGACAGACAGAGGGCAGGAAGGAAAACAGAGGCACACTATAGGGGTGAAGTGAGTGACTGGCACAAGGCCATACAGCAGGACAGTGTCAGCGCTGTGATTAGAACCCAGGTCTCCTGGCTCCAAGTCTGGTGACCTATTCACTAGACCGGGCTGCACAATAAGATGATAAAGAGAGAGGAAAAAATAGAGATTATATGAATTGCGGGAGGCAGAACTGGAGAGAGAAAACCAATAAAACTCGACAAAATTGTGCCTCAGTTTGTTACGCTGAATAACAGGACATGAAATATGAATCTACCTTTAGCAATCTAGGGCCAAACCCAGATGTTGTATGTGGGGGGAATTCTGCTCCTGCTCCTTTTTATTGTAAAAATGCATCAGATGCAACATGTGCATGGCTCACTGAGGTCCCCAAGTAAATGCGCTTGATGATATTGTAATTTATATGAACCACAATGATATGAACTAATGATCAAATTTATCTCTGCATAATAAAAACCCTTTGTGATTCCACATACCGGAGAAATCTATGATGCCATTTGCATTTAAACCATCACAAGTTTTGAATTTTCATCTTTACTGTAGGCCCATTAAATAAATGAGCCTAAAATCATTCTTCAGTGTATCTTTTTTTTCTAGTTTCATGCAGTAAAACCCTCTGCTAAGCTTTCAGTAGATGGTAGCACATTATTCTGAACTGTGCTTCAGCTCTGTATAATGTACATTTGCCAGTCCTGATTTGCCAAGGTGGTTTATGAATTAGGAATTGTGTGTAGAGTTCTCTGACAATCTGACTTTAAAAATGCTAAGCGATGAAATTTAGAAAAGGAACTACTTCTTCACACAAATGTACAGTCAATCTGTAGGACTTGTTGCCAGGGGATGTTGTGAAGGCTAAAAGTATATATGGATTAAAAAAAGAATTAGATATATTCATGGAGGATAGGTCCATCAATCGCCATTAGCCAAGATGGTCAGGGAATGCAACCCCATGCTCTGGATGTTCTAAGTCTCTAACTCCCAGATGCTGGGTGTGGACGACAGGGGATGGATCACTCGATAGTTGCCCTGTTCTGTTCATTCCCTCTGAAGCATCCGGCATGGCCACTGTTGGAAAACAGGATACTGGGCTAGATGGACCATTGGTCTGGCCCAGTATGGCTGTTCTTATGTCTATACACAAGGTATCACATATATTAAGGGTGGTGGTGGTGGATTGGTTGATAACATGAACCAAAGCTTCTCCAGGGCCTAGGAACTTCTAACACACGTGCATGCATCGCTGTGGCAATATAAATTGTTTCAGCACTGTGAAATATTATTTCCAATGTCATGTTAAAGGGGGGCAGGCAGCTGGATTAAAACTAAATTAAAATCATATTCGAAGTTGAGATACATTATGATAAAGCTGCCCGTGGTCACAAGCCAGCGGGTTTACTTAATATTGAAAACTTACATTTACATTTGAATGTTATCCACCCCATCACCCAAGTCAAAAGCCATCATGGGAATAAAATTGGGCTCTTCTGCGGGTGATTGGAACCAGCTAAGGGGATGTGTTTGAGGTTCTAAGAATTTAACCCAATTTAACAGCCTCTCCACATTACTACAGGGAAGACAGTTAATAGATGCCTTGTCTTTTGTGCATTAAGAAGCATCTCGGAAATTTAGTGGCAGGGTTGGGCGGTGCCTCAAAAAGTTTGAAGAACCACTTTGATTCCCAAAGTGAGGATGATGATCCAAACCTTTTAAAGTTCCTTCCAAAACTAGCATCTCTCTTACCCACCCCGCCACCCCTCTTTCCTCTTCCTTCTTTATATGAAATACATGCTTGTGAACAAAGAGCCTTTCGAGGATGAGACAGTGAGTAGGGAGGATTTAGGAGGGTTCTTATGGTTTGAGCACAGGCGTGCCTTGTATTGTTTTCATAAATAGTTGGCATTGGGGGCCTGGAGCATTGGATGGACATATTTTAAATAGTAATATCAATAATATGCTGGATCATGACTTTGGAATGACTGGGGCCAAAAGCCAAATAATCCATTCCAGCGTTTACACATGCCCCTGTGTGCACTGGGATAGAAGTTGGAGATATTCAGCCATACAGGGAGCAGAATAGCACACATTCAATAAAGCTTCCCATTCTTTGCTCTTACGC